TTTGTAACGGATTTTTTGTAGGTAGACTATGGTAAAGACAACTTGGGTCTCCTAGCAGGTTATGTGGGTGTCCGTACTAGGAATCATAGTCTCGGAATCCTTTCTTTGGGTGTCGGTAGCGAATTGGGGGTGAGAGGCAAGAAGAGTCAGTTAGTTGTGAACCGAGCAGGATTTAGAGGCTTCAGTGTGGGTGATCAGGCCATTGAAGCACTCTGTTAGGTTCCTGGTAACCTAAGATTGGAGTTGAGAAGCTAGTTGTGGGGATTTTGTGTCACTACAGCTTCTGCCCTGCCGACCTATTTTTTTGAATTTGTCTTTTTATACAAGAATATGCTATGGTAACATCTACACTAGTTTCCGTAGCCTTCATTAGGGTGGCGGCATCCGATCTTCCCATCTTGGACCATTGCCATGATCGATCATGGCTGCATAACATATCCTTCATGCTGCGCTGGTGTAGCCCAGAACCGAGCTTGATCTGAGGAGTTTTGAAGCTTAGGTTACAATTGCGGAAACCTCAATCATGGTCACCTGATGCCTTTGAGCAAACCTGTCTATCAGAGTTGTTCGCTACATCCCCCCTTCAAAAAAGAAGGTTCGGCGACTCCTATGTGAGTGCCCGAACCTTGCTTCTACCATGACACAACTGGATAGTCATTGTCAGCTTCAAAGCTGTCTTCATTGATCATCCAGATTATGGTAGTATGCCCCATGATGTTTGCACAGAACCAAATTTGGTCAGTGGCTTCCAGAGCTGGGGTTCCAGGGGTCTTGGAACTGTTGGCTCGGGTTACATAAAGGGCTGTGAATGTCTCCATGGCCCTTTTCAAGTTAACTGCTTGAAAGTGGTAATAGGTGTGCTCCCGATGTTTGGGATGGAGCTGCTCTTCTGTGGTTTCAGCTGCGTTGGCTAGCTTTAGCAATACTGCTCTCACAGCTTCGATGGCTATCTCCACGAAATCGTGGGCTTCACGATCGGGCCAGAGGGTGAAGCGGGCCATTTTGGGGTTTCCGGCCGCATGTTGAGGGACTCCAGCGTCAAGCCAGGCGGCGCAGGGTATGTCCCGTAATCTCTTCCCCATCTTTTTTGCATTGGCGATGATACCAACAGCTGCTTGACTGCTGTTGGAAGCCCTACTGTAGGGCTCCACTATATGCATTGTGAGGGGCTGGCTCGTGGCGTATGGCTTCAAAGCCCCGTCTACCACCCAATCTTCACCATGATAGTGTTCGAGGGGTTTGTTTGGGTCTTCGAACAGCTCACGAATCCAAACTTCGACCCAGGTGGCCATAGCTGCTCCGAGCCGCTTGATAGAGTTCTCGGCTCCAAAGGCATCGCTTCCTTCTGCCCAGGGGTAGCCTTCCTCAAGGGTAGAGAGGATACTGACTCCTCGTTGTCCTTGGATATCAGTGGTCATGGTGTCGGTGATACAGTGCATCAGATAAGCCGAATGGCTTATCTGATGCACTGTATCAGCCGGCTTATAATATGATATACCCAGTGTATAATATGATATACCCGGCTTATAATATTCTATATAATAAGCCGTATTGAAGTGTTTGCCCAATGCATTGGAGTGTTTCAAAGTGTTTCAAAGTGTTTCAAAGTGTTTCGAGTCTTCCAAGGTGTTTGTCCAAGTCCGGGACTATTGATGAAGGGATGTGCGCATCTACGCCGAAAATTTTCTCTGACATACACGTAAAATTTTACGCATCTAATATTTCACGTGTCCAAACTTGACATTCGCTTCTTCTCAAGACTCCATGGTTCGTTTCCCCTTGGGCGGTTCGTTTCCCTTGGGCGGTTCGTTTGGTGATTTTACTCGAGCAAATTCTTGCTACTAGGTTCAAACGCCACACTTTATGAAATCACTTTATCTTGCCACTAGGTTCAAATGCCACACTTTATGAAATCACTTTAGCTTGGGACTCCATCTCTCCACCTTCCTTTACTGATGGTACTCGGGAGACCTTCAGTCTCAACACTTTTCGTTGTTTGCGGTAGATTGTGATAATCTCCATCACTTGGTCTTCTGTATATCCTGCCTCCATTAGCCCCTGCTTGACGTCATCCACCAAAGCATTTAGCTTCTCCTCTACTAGTGATGCCACATACATATTTGAACCATCTTCGCCTATGATTGTCCTCACATCCTTCTTAACCATTTTCCTTTCAATTGCCTCCTTTCTACGGCGATTTGTTGTTACGACTGCTTGGTGCATCTCATTGTCAACTGTGAGTTGGTAGAACCTCTTCATCTCATTTAGCTCTTCTTCACTTGCTCGCCTCATCATTTTCTCCATTGTTAATTGCAGCTGTATTCGAATGTTGTATATGGAATCATTTTTGAAAAGAAGGCTTCGAGCTGGGGAGGGGAGACCGGCGACCCTCTTTTATAAACGGAAAAGGAACCCTCCCATCTTATCGATATGATGGTTCAATACATGACCTCTCATCCTATCGATATAACATGTTCGATCTCTCATCGACAAAGTGGGATGCCATCTTTTGCTTACCTAAGCATTGTAACTCATGCAAATAAGTCGCAGTGAACCAGGTTTCCCTTGCTATCTGGGTAGCGAGGGTAAATGACCCCAATCTCAGTTTCCATGTATAACATACAAGTTGACTTCGGGGTCATTCACCCTCAACCTACACCACCCAATAATCAACACAGGTAGCACGTGGTTATCTAGAGTATCTTTGGAGAGCCGAACCCCCTCACACCAGACATTGTTCACTGCGTGAAATTATTGTATAAATCATTCAAAGAGTCATATCAAGTATATACATCTTTTGTTATGAATCTATCTTCCGAGGTCTCCCCCTTAGTCTCTTTGGCGAACTTGTTCCTAATTTCTTGCGCGGTGCTTCCATTCTCGTTATCTGCAGAAACTTAGATGTATATTTGCATTCTTTTCCATCTAACATCCGGCGGATGGTGTGATAGGTACATCATGGTTATGTAGAACAACGACGTGTCTGCGTGCATCCTCATCTACATGGCATCATACTGAAGGTTCCATCGATGGATGAGTTGTGAATATAAAAGAGGCAAGCTCGCTAGCAAATCCACACACTTACACCACAAAACAGTATGACGAGTTTCAAGGAATTCTTCAATATCACATTCAGCGCGCCTACGGATGGCTCTCTTCTTATTCCTACAATGGGCTACAATGCTAACTCGGATGAGGAAAGACAAATCATAGCGATTGTCTTAGACATCATTAATTTCATCGTGACAAACCCAGAGAAGAGTCCTTATATGAGGGTTCCTTTTGTTGACAACAAAGAAAAAGTGAGAAAATATGGAGAAGAACTTGACGAAGTTGGAGAGGAAATCGGTGTTGTTGACATGTTGTTCAGCGTCCATAGTTTTCTGATGGAGTGGATAGCTGAATGCAGTCAGCTAGGGAATCCCGACTGGCAAGCATATCGAGTAGATTTACGTAGTCTGGAGTACCGCTGGGATGGGATTGGAGGATGGCAGGCTTAAGAAAAGTAGAATGTGGCTACCTGGTGATCTTGAATGAGCGAGGGTAAATGACCCCAATCTCAGTTTTCATGTATAACATGTTAATGCACTTCGGGGTCATTCACCCTCAACCTACACCACCCAATAATCAACACAGGTAGCACGTGGTTATCTAGAGTACCTTTGGAGAGCCGAGCCACCTCACACCAGACATTGTTCACTGCGTGGTCTTTCATTCCCCATGGGGGAATTGCCGACCCTCTGTAGACCCTGTAAATTTTTGTGGCGCATACTAAAAATCCCTGTCGTATCGATAATTTAAGTACTTTTCGCCCAATCGGAAAAGAACACCCTCTATATATCCAGCGCGGAGGGCTTGCCCCCTTGCTAATTCTAAAACATTCTTCAACAACATGAGCAGTCAAAAGAGTGATAGCGAGTCGAACCCGAAATTCATACACCTTCGAACCATGACTCGGTGGGCATGGCTAGCAGTGTGTTTTGCATGCGAAGAAATTAGAGATCAACAGAGCATTACAAAGTACATGACCATTCTTGGAAGCATCAGAGAAGGATTTAAAAGTGCTCATTATGATCCAACATTCGAAGATATGGAGGAACAGTGGAGTTGTTGCTTGTTCACCTGTGTACAACTTAGGTTGATGGTTGAGGATGAAATGCAGGACATCGACTCAATTGAAAGCCATGTTAAATTACTGGCATTTTTAGAGCTTTTATTAGGAGCATGTGAGGGCTTATCAGCGTCAATGGGAATAAAACTGTTATCTTAGTCGAGTGTTACATAATAGACCCGTGCATCGCTGCACAAAAAGCTGTGTTGGCATCTGTGTTTCAGATGCGTGTGGTTTCTTTTTCGTTTCTTTTTGTGGTCAGTCCAACGAAAGAAGCCATGAAAAGGAAAGGACTGTATGACCCAATGGGGATACAGTTCTCCATCTGCATCCCCATCTTTTTATAGAGAAAAAAAGGGAAGCTGCGTTCACGTTTCCATCCGCATTTCTAGAACAAAGAGCCTTTCATTATGATTGTGTCCTAAGAGAACGCAATCCTGCAAGATGGCTAAGTAGCCGGAATTTCGAAAGCAGATTTCATCCAGTTTCTTCAAGTGGACGATTGACATAATCTCTTTGAAGATGTGTTCGTTCTGGTCTGTTTTCGGAAGAAACAATATGATACGTTTTTTATCTCCTGTCATCATACCTTGACAGTACCTCCAGAAGTTACACATGTCGCCCTTCACGGCGTCCTTGATGTTCAATACTGAATGACCTTCAATATCCGCGCATCGCATTCTTATCTTGCATAGCTTCTTTTTTAAATGATGGCAGTGCGCGCGTCATCTATTGTCCGAGTTCAGTGATTTTAATGAGGGTAACATCAGTTGTGTTATCGGGAGCAGCCTGACTGATACTAAAATTTGTGAAGTAAGCAATGTTATCGGACATCCCTGTAACAACAAAGGCTGCTGTGATTGTACGATTGACTCCCGAATTAAAGTTAAAGTCGCTCGAGTACACGAGAGGCATCGACCCAGCGCTTTGTCCGAGAAATATTGACAATGTACCATTTGAGTTTGCTGTGCCATGGAGGTTAAGCGTCCACTCCATAAGTACCTTGCCAGGTGTTGAAACATAGAAGACCTTCGAGGCATTGTTGGATTGCCACACGTCTTTAGTCAAAAGTTTGATAACTTGAACATTTCTTAGAAATGTTTGACTGGCAACCCATGGTTGAGTAGCACAAACCTGACCATTGCTATAGACAGCACCGTTCGAATACAGATTCCCTCCTGCAACAACATGTGCAGCAACCGCGACACCTCCTGAAACGACCAATGCTCCTGTGGAAGAACTCAATGCTGGTGTTGTAGAATCAATTGTGACATTTCCGGTATTTGCCTGTATCGTTAGTCCTTTAGCGGTCTGTGCTTGGAGCCGAAGATTTCCAATATCGTTTCTCAATGTCATTGTGTTAACGCCTCCATCCGAACTCCGGTTGTTTCCGTTCAAAAACATAACAGCAGAACCTGCTGCATTCTGGAAGTATTGGATGGCACAACTATTGCTCCCAGAGTCGAGGTTTTTAAGAATAATAGCCCGTAGCCCGTTAAGTGGCGAACCGATAGTTAGATTACCGGACGAGATGAGGTCTCCGGTGTAGGTGTTAACCGAGAATCGGCTATTCCATGTTCCAAAGGTATCACTGGAATAATGACCGAATTCATAACGACGTTGGTCTACGCTATCAGACGAGCCGGCGAGGTGGACGTGAAGGGCGTCTCCGGAGTTGTTGTAGGAGATAGTGTAGTCACCTTTCGTAGAGGGAGTGTCACTTCTCAACTTGAAATATCCACCTGTAGAGGCGGCTATGAGAACTTTTCCTGTAATGTTTCCACCTGAGAAGATACTTTTAGAAACCCCTATTCCTCCTTTAACCTGTAGAGCGCCACTTGATACGGTTGTTGCCTCGGATGTATCGTTAGCAAGAATTGTATTTGCCAACAGATTACTAGAAGATGTTATAACATCTTGTTTCGATGTTTGCAGTGCTGATATGCTGGGGGCATAGTCGACAATGTTTAAAATACTTCGAACGGAAATATCATTCACAAGGGTAAATCCTTGGACATCATCTCCCATGACAAACATGTTCGACATTGGACTCATCGATGCAAGGGAATCGAGTAAAGGACTTGCATTTTGCTTCCCTGAGATGTCGACATTGGTAATGCCTAATATTGTCTTCACCTCTTCAGGAGTTTTCACCGAGAATGATGTAGCAGAACTCCCAACAATAAATGAATTCGCTGATAATGCAAGACCGCTTATAGACGATAATAGTGGACTTGATGCCTGTTTATTAGCAATGGCTGTCCCTACATAACTCTCGGTTGCAAGTTTGAGATTATTGGAGAAAATGTCTCCACCAACGTACAGCATTTTAGCGACACCTAAACCTCCTGATACCTGCAATGCGCCCATTATAGTCGACGATGAGTCTGTAGTCGAAGTGATGGCAATGGTTCCATTGGCTTTGAGAATGAATTGATGGGCGCTAGTTCCATAGTTATAAAACCCGAGGCTCCCATTGGTAAGTATACCTGTTCCATTAGTTGCAGCGTGGTATATACCCCAAGAATTACTCGAAGCAGCATTGTTACTAATCAGAACGGCGGTAGACGCTGTGGCACTTGAAGGCGCATTGATGACTATGGCAGCCGGCTGCAATCCTCCTCCACCTGCTCCTAGGGTTAGAGTTTTTCCTATGCTGACTCCACCTGATACCTGGAAAGCACCTGTTGTCACACTAGTTGAATCGGTTGTGTTTGGTATCTGCGTTACGCCTGTATTGGAAACTCTCAGAACAAAGCCTGTATTGTTATAAGAACTATTTAGACCGAATCCGCCTGCTGATAATGTTCCGTCTCCTGTGCTTCCGGCAACTCTCATGCCCCATGTAACATTACTCCCAGTATTTACTAAGGACAATGTTGTAGATGCTGCGCCATTTTGAATGGTTATACCCCCGCCAACAGTGGCACTGTTAAATGATAGCGCAGTCGATGAGGTAATAAGAGGTTGATATGAGGAAAGTATATTCGATGTAGGAACAACTGAGAACCCTGTGGGTGTTCCCATGATGAAAGTGTTAGCCGCCGGCGTTAAACCGCTGATAGAATCGAGTAACGCAGACGCACTTTGTTTAGTAGCAAGTGCTGTATCTGCGGCGGCCTTGTTATTCTGAACAAGTGTTTGAAGCGAAGTCAAGGATTGACTAAGAGGACTTGTCATGCCGGTCATTGTAGCGACACTCCATTGTTGCGTAGCCACTTCGACTCCATTTTGAATGATCAGTCCTTCAACATTTAGATCATGTTCAACAAGTAAGCCACCTGTCAAGAGTCCATTGCCTACATTATCTACTCGAAACACTATATCTGAGGTGCCTTGGACAAATATTCCACCACTCGTTGTTAGAGAATTAACATTCAATGCAGACGATGTAGTAAGAAGAGGTTGGAATCCCCCTAGAATTGTAGAGACAGGTGATACTGTAAAGCCCCCAGCAGTTCCCATGACGAAGGAATTCGGTGTCGTTGTTAAACCACTGATTGCATCGAGTAAAGGACTGGCATTTTGCTTCGTAGCAATGGATGTTGTTAGAGAACTTTCAGTAGCCAATTTCACTCCATTTGTGTATACATCCCCTCCAACGTACAGTGATTTAGCGATGCTAACTCCACCTTTCACCTGGAACGAGCCAGATGTTGAGGAAGTAGCATCAGTTGTCGTATTGATAATAACATTCCCAGATGAGAGAATATCCAAATTCGAAGCCGTTGCATTATTTGTACCAATACGCAAATTACTAGCGGAGGCTCGAATGATGTAGTCTCCAGCAATGGTATTTGTTACCCATTGACCTGCTGTTGCTGTATATCCGAATGATGCGTTGTTTATTTGAAAGGCGGCAGCGGCTGTAGTAGATATAATAGCATACTTTCCCATGTACACTGTGCCTTGCACTCCTAATCCACCGGGAATTTGTAATGCACCTGTTGTTGTAGAGGATGCATCATTTGTAGCATCCAGCGTAACGATTCCAGTGTTTGCCTGTATTGTTAGTCCTCTAGCGGTCTGTGCTTGAAGCCGAAGGTTACCAATATCGTTTCTCAACGTCATTGCGTTAATCCCACCGTCCGAACTCCGGTTGTTTCCATTCAAAAACATCACTCCAGAACCCCCTGAAGCCGTTAGATAAAGAATGCTGCATCCGTTCGTCCCTGTACTCGGATTGCTTACGATAAGGGAACGTAAACCGTTTACAGAAGAGGCTCCGACAGTTAGGTCACCCCCTACAACGCATGAACCATTTGTGTCCACTCTTAGACCCAGAGATACTGCACTAGATGTCCGTCTGTAAATGTAAATCGGCTTGTCTTGTGCTCCTAACCACGTAGCAGCATCACTAGCATACCCTAAAAGACCAGAACCATCCAGACCCAGCCAAGACGATTTTGTACTGTCAAAACTATTTGAAATAAAGACAGACGAGCCTCCTGCTACAGAGGCGGTCGTTTGAACTCTGCTTCCTGTAATGACTTTCCCTGAGATATTGCCGCCAAATGTAACATTATTTGAAGTTAGATTAGTTATCTGGCTTCCGACCCAAGGTTTGATAACATCATTGTCGTAATCTCTTAACATTGAGAGATTGATTGCTTGCTGAGGGTATTCGTATTTGATGCCTCGATAACATGAAGGCATATCAAACAAGAGACGAGTACAACCTCCTATTGGATCAGAAGCAATTGCGACATTGCTCCCGGGTTCAAGTGGTGGCATGAAGGTAACAGGGTCTATTGGTTCGTAAATGGGGTTTCCATCGCCATCGAGTATAGGTTGTCCTTCCGCATCTCGTTGAACCTTACGTTTGCATGACCCTCCGAAAATCATTCCCCAAGGGAACGTTGAGACGATTGGGAGGATGGAGTTTACAGCCATAGGGACTGTCAAGGGCGGGGAGACCATCGCTGGAAAAGGTACGGTTGATAATGGAGTTGCTCCGGACAAAATAACAGTGTTGCCTGATGGAACATCCGTTTTTAACACTTCTGCGGTATCACTCTGTTCAGTATTATCGGTATCCCTTTGCTTCGATAATGGCGTAGGGTCAATGAGGGTAAAGTTATAAAGCGGATACGAACCTGTAATGATGAGATTTGGACTGTTACTTACGAATTGAGGAGGAATCATGTTATACTGAATCGTATTTCCAACAACAATAATACTTCCATATGAGTTGGTACTGCCCACATAATTACCTCTTAAGGCATCGCCTACGCGAAGAATAGTATCGCTTCCTGAAATCGAACATGAAATCAAATCGCCGCTAACTTGCACTCCATTGATACCTCTTAGGTTTGTTGACAAAATCGCACCATTTTTTTGCAGTCCAATTCCCGCAGCGATGTTTGAACTCAGAACACCATTGTTTAGAGTAAGATCGGGTGACTGTGCTGTTAAACTCAGTCTGAAGTCGTTCCCCGTCCTGGTTACCCCTTGGGAGGCTGTGAAGGTATCCCGTATGGTTCCCCTGTTGACCATAGCCAAACCTGAATTAGCATCAACTTTTAGATCGAGTTGAAGGTCATTCTGTACTCTCTCGATACCATTGCTGCAAGTCAGTACGTCTTTAATGGTATCTGCTTTGACCATTTGGAGACAACTGCCAGCCTCGCATTTAAGAGATAATACCACATCATTGGTCGTTCCAGGTCGAATAGATACGCCATTAAAGTCCTGAAAAATGTACCCACCTGTGAGTGCATTTCCAACAATTCTGATGGTCTGATTATCGACCAAACAGCCTATCTCTCGACGTCCAGCAGCCTCCGGACTCACGGCGATCGCTCCAGTTTGAGAGCCTTGATAAAATTGCGAAAGATAGTCTTTACTTACAGCATACGAGCCACCTCCAATCGCAGGCAATGTTCCGCTTAACTTTACATTGGGTACACGCAACTCCTGAAGCGTGGACGAATAGGTGAATGAAGAACTTCCCGAGTAGCCATAAGTAAGGTTCCCATACATGATTTGTTCATATCCGGGTGATTTCAGGGACAATCTCGAACCCGCTTGGCTGAATATGGAACTATCTACCATTAGGCGAATGGCTGTGGTGTCTACCTCTCCTAACACATTAGTCATTTCGGTCAAACTATCGAATCCAAAGTCGAGCCATGAAGACCCGATGTCTAACAGCGTATCAGCACCGCTGGATGTCTTTATAGCCCCAAATGCTTTGAACAGTTGGCTTGAGTTTGTTTCGAGTTCATCTGAACTATTCACCTTCAAACTCTTGTGAAGTTTGACACCGATTCCATTATCCCGATATAGAGGTTTCTTCAGTGTTTCTAGAGGTGGCGGTGGTGGAAAGTTCACTGAAAGTCCGTTTTCGTTAATGGATAATGTCTCATCCACTCGAATACCAACCGTCCGCGATTCATCATCACGGTACATTGGGAACTCATAATTTTCGGGAATCACTTTCAGTTTTTCTTCTTCTACAGATAAAGATGAATCATCAAACTGAAGTTGGATATCATGACCCTCTTTTGAGTAGACAAGAGGTTGATGCGCAGATACGTCGATTGTGGTCAACCGACTCTCCTCATCAATTTCAAGCCTCTTGTTATCAACATTTAATCCAATGGATACGACGCCATGTTCATTCGTACAAGGTAAGCATTCAGAGGTGGTTTCAACCTCGTTGACTTTAAGTTTACCATTTTCATTAGATAAATGCTTAAATTCTCCAACATCGAACCCCTTTATCTTGGCTCCAACATCGAAGCCAACCATTTCGCCTGTCACATATGGAGATAAGAGATTTGTGTTATCTACGGTACGTAACCCCGTAGAATGTCTACTATTAATTCCAGACATGTTATATTGTAGCTAGGAAGTAAAATTTGAGGAGCTTGGCAAAAGACGAAGCGCTCGACGGTGCCCATCTTATCGATAAAGATGGGGCGAAAAAACCTTACGCTATCCTCTGTTTCTTCCTCGGTGGAAGTGTGACATCCTCTGCTCCTTTTCTCCTTCTACTTCGAACTGTAGGTTCCACACGCAGTGTCGATTGTGTTTGTGCAGGAGGGACAACATATTCCGCTTCACGTTGTCCTCGCAATCTTGCGAGTGGACGTACTTCGCTTCCCAAGTCCGCGGTTAGCGGTACTAACGTTGGAGGATTGACAGCAACATTCGGAGGTGCTGGTGCAAAATTGACTTTTCTCCTATTTTTGGCTCGTATATGTTTTTCAACTTCTTCAGGGGATGTTAATCTAATTTCCTCTACTTCCTCTCGTTCGGGTATAGAAGAATCTATTCTTTGTCTTTTTACCGTGGTCTGCTTATCATCTGGTTGTTTGTACTGTCTTCTTTTGGTTCCATGAGGAGCAACTCCAGCAAAAATCACATCCGGAGGATGTGGAGGAGCAACAGGTGATGGGGTTGATGGTGGAGTTACTGGCTCTGTTTTTTGCTTCTTTTTATTCAACCGAGGAATCGGCGGGGGTGCATTTGCTTTCCTTTTGGAACCTGCTAATATGGTTGCTTCCTTACCTTTGAAGTGAAATGGAGTTCTAGCAGGAACCGGGATAAATTTTTCATTGACGGAGTTTCTCTCTAAAACATCCGCTACACCAGACGGATCATGGCGGTCATTCAGGAGTACTGTATCATGCGGAATTGGTGCGGCACTACGAGGCATTGTTTCCACGGAGGCATCGATTTGAGGAGATTCCACATGAACCTCTGGAGTCAAGCCAGGGAAACTGCCTGGAATTGGTGGAATATAAGCATCGGACATTGTCATCGCATCCAATGGAACAGCAGCGCCAGTCCCATGATTGACACGGTCATTTCCAACTGCATCTCGTCTAATTTCCGTCTCCCTTGTTAGAATTACAGGTTCTAGGGGAGTAGAATTTACATTACGTGGCTGTGCTGGAATCTCATTTCCATTAGGTGGTGCTTCAAACATTAAGCCCGTTTGGGAAGTCACTGATGCGGGATAGGAAAACACATGCCCTGATTCATCAGGAATCGGTAATCCTGAAAGGGAATTTTGCGTTCCAACGGTCAATGCATTCCCTTGTCTACTTGGAGTAATCGAATCAAGATACTTCTGTTTCTTCCTGTAATCTTCCTCTGCTTTAACATATTCAAGACCGTCCCTGTAAGCCTTGGTAGTTCGTTGGGCAGCCGAAAATTTCAGAACATCAGAAGACGAGAGCCTCGGTTCATATTTCGGTGCTGCATAGTTCGTCTTTGTTGCTAGGTCTTTCTCATGGACATTGCGGTTCCACGAATAGACAACTTGTGGTCGTCCGAGGATATCAATCTTTGAATAGTCTAGTGCGACACCCACTTGACGTTTTTGCAGATTTGGAATCGGTGGCGAAATAGCATATGTATCACTCAAGTAATTGGCTCGGTAATATGCCATACTAGGTTTTTTCCTTTGCTATGTAGAGCTGAAAAAATAATATCTCTTCTGTTCTATAAATCAAGATGCCTAATTGGTTTTCTAAAGCGAAAGCAAAGGCAAATGTTCTGTGGAATAACGCGCCGTCATATGTTGCCAAAGCAAGGAACTTTGCTAATCAAGCAGTCCGGCATGCCACTACATTGAATAAACATGTGCAGCACGTAAATCGCCAAGTACAAGAGTCACCGCTTTTCTCAGCAGGAGTCCGAGAGAAAAGTCAAAAGATTTCTAGTCATGGAGACACTGGGCTGAGGAAACTTACAGAACTTCACAAGAACGCTGACGACTTTGTTGAGAGGGTGGCAGGTGGTAGAATCGAGTGATCTAATCCAGTGAACTACTGCTATTTGGGTGGCGAGGGTGATTGTCCCCGATCTCGGGTTCTATGTATAACATGTTACTGGACTTCGGGGTCATTTACCCTCAACCTACATCCAACCCCATAATCAAACAGGTAGCGTGTGGCTGTCTAAGGGAAGCTTGAAAGAGAAAGAGCGAAAACGGCGGACAATGTTCACTGCGCTCTTGGCGCCCCAGGCGGGCTATCAATTTTAACCCTTCAAACCACAGTCACAACAGCACCAATGGAAAGTGTGACATTCTCGTGGTAGGTGGAGACCATGTGCACCTTTTGCGTAGGCGCAACAGCATGTTGCGTATGCACTCTTAACAAGCCATCTGTCCCTGTAAAACTCAATGCCGCCTGACTGCCTTCATCCTTGCTGGCAAAACTCCATCCAAATGAAAAGGCTTTTGAATCATAATCTGCGAATGACATATCCATCTCCCCGAGTTGGTCAAAGTTGTTATTTGATAACTGTGTGACCAGTAACATTTGATTATCAGATGGGCTATGGCTGAACCCTTGCGTTCCACTTGGAATGGTAAGATTTGGCCCCAGTTGAATACGCCACTCGCGTAGCCCTTGTGAAGAATACATTAGCGCCTTATCTTTCGTCTGGTCATTGAGAACATCATCGTCCACAAACGACATTTCGATCCCTTGAAGTGACCTTACACCACTCATATGAAGCAAAAATGTATTCCGGTTTCCACCACTACATGCATTTTCCGTTTGGGTTGAGCGCACATAGTCATAGAATATTGGCTTTCCATCACTTATAGCACGTGTTGAATTGATGACGCTGCTTGGTGGTGGTGTAACATACGAAATTAAAGTTCTGATATTCGATACTCTTATCTCTCCAACTCCAGCCGATGTAAAGATGGTTGAAGGATCCGCAAGTGTGATTATGATTTCGAGTGCTTGATTTGGAAGTGCCCAAACAGGGAAGAACTGGTCATTTGTCGGATGAAAGAAACCCACAAAAGGGTGATGGTTGATGGAGATGGTACTCGATGTTGCAAAGATATTGGTGTTTCCATATCCGGAAAGTTGGCTCAACAATTTCTTACTACCGGCAGATAGATTGCGGTACGTTTGTACTAGATAAAGAGGATAGTTTGGTATATTGACAACTGTTTCTCCTCCTGCTTTGATGGTCAATGATTGAATAATGGATTCCAAGCCAAGATACATGTTTTTAACACCTGTACCAGGAGTTATCAGGTTCCCTGCATTATCGTATGCAGAAACATCCATTGACAGAATTAGTTTCTGCAAAATGAAAGAGACCGAATTCGAGTCGCAAGTGATCTTAATCGGAGTCAGGTTTCTTGACTTTGTCGTATATGTACTTTGACCTATCGGAGAATAGATTGACACCCCCTCACCGCGAGGATCGGAGTAACTTTTGGCGAAGGAATTGGTTGAGAAGATCCAGTTACGTGGTACAGCAACTTCTTCTGACATCTTTGTTTACTGATTGCAGGAAAAAAAAAATGGAAGATTTTTCAGCCAAAAATACCACCATAGTTGTCCTCCTCAACA